ATTATAAATATTATAAATATTATAAATATTATAAATATTATAAATATTATAAATATTATAAATATTATAAATATTATCAAGTATATATTAAACATTTGCATATTTCATAGAAAGAATTTCATTTTTTTATTTTGTAAAAAAATCAAATTCAAAAATTCAAATCCTTCACTATGAGTTTGTTTATATTGGACGACATGATTGTCGACGAATCAAGTGAATCCCATGAAAATAAACGAGTGAAAATCACTACTGCTTGTGATACTTGTCGTAGGAGAAAAGTTAAATGCGACGGGGCTTCTCCGTGTGCTAATTGTTCAAGAGGAGGTTCGTTATTATTAATAATCTTTGAAATTAATCATCTCATTGGAGCCCCAAAAATTTTTAAAATTAATTACATTAATTACATAACAAAATTACATTAATTAATTACATTAATTACATAACAAAATTACATTAATTACATAATTAAAAAAGCATACTTAATTATTTTAATTATTTAATATTTATATTGATTATTATATTGATATTATATTCTATTTTAGGATATCAATGCACCTTCTCTGATGCTTCAACAAAAAGACCGAGAGGACCTCCTAAAGGATTCGTGGCGTTAATAGAGGATAGACTTCACACGATAGAATCTCTTTTGGTTAACCTTGTTAATAAGGACAATATTAATGAAAATAATAAGGAAATAAAACGAGAAAGAGAGCAAATCATTGATGAAACCACGACGACGACGACAAATACTCGACAAAGATTTTCAACTTTTAAAATTCGTCATTATTCACCAACGACACCTACAAATTCTCAACCTCATCATTTATTCATACCATCAACTCCACCAGTTGATTCAAATGGATTTTCAGAACATTCACATAATTTAATTCCATCATTTAATGAAGAACTTCATAGTGATGATGAAGAATGTCTTCAACAAAATTTAATTTCTCCATGTGAATCAGATCGTTTACAAAGTAGAACTTTGTCATTTCTTCATAATTTGGAAGGATCTGATATATATGTTGATCCACCATTACCATCCATACCAAATTTAAAACCATTACAAACAGATATTGAACAACAATTATTAGAAAAATATTTTAATCATTTTCATCCATATTTTCCTATAATTAATCGAAGTCAATTTTTTAAGCATTTGGCAAATCCAAACGAAGAAGATCAACCTTCACCATTACTTCTTAATTCAATTTATGCTTTAGGTGCATTATTTCCACCAAATCTATCTGATTCTTCTAGTCCATCTATTTATTATGATAGAACAAGAAGTAGGTTATTTTATTTTATTTTTATTTTCTATTATTTTATTTTATTAAATTTTTAATTACTTTCTTTTTCTTCTAGGTTTATTGGATTATTTTATTGATGTACCGAGATTATCTACAGTTCAAGCTTTAATTCTCTTAAGTATGATAGATCAAGGAAAACCTTCATCATATAGATCACAAACTTATTCTTCAATGGCTATTAGAATGGCACAGAGTATGGGATTAAATCGTAGAAATAGTGATGTTTATCAAGGAAAAAGTCGTCAAACAAAGAAATTAGTTTGGTGGGGATGTTTTATTTCGGATCGACTAAATAGTCTTTCGACAGGAGATCCTTTAACTATAAATGATAAAATTTGTGATATCGAATTTCCATCACCAGATGAAATAGATGAAGATAATGAAGATAATCAATATTCAACAACAACAACATCACAACAACAACAACAACAACAACAACAACAACAACAACAACAACAACAACAACAACAACAATATCATTACCAAAACAATTCAACATATGCTCAACAAATTAATATTTTTGTGAATTTTGCTAGATTATCAAAATTAACTGGACAAATAATTGAACATTTACAATCAAATTCTTGTAATGGAATGGTTTCATCATGGAATCATCATGTGATGGTTTCCAGTTTCGAAAAATTGCTTCATTCATGGTTACGTGAATTACCACCTTATATGCATTATTCACCATCACCACAACATAGACCACTTCCTGGTCATATAGCATTAGTTCATATGCATCATCATGTTTTATTTTTGATGCTTCATTATCCTTATATTGCAGATAATAATTATAGTAATAGTAATAATAGAATAAGAAATTCTCAAACTTATATTAATTCTTTAAATTCATGTACGAGAGCAGCAAATACCATAACACATATTGGAAGTATGTTAAGTTTTAATTTTTGATTTAATGTAAGTTTAATTTTAATTAAATTTTTTAATTTAACTTTAATTTTAATAATTTTTTTTTTAGTGGAAGCTCTAAACAACGTTAATGTATGCATAACATTCCCTACAATGTTCTATTGTTTGGGAAAAGCAGCTAAAGTTCATATGATCAATATTGCTTCTAATCAACGTGGATTAGCAATTCCAGCATATGAAAATATTTTAAAGACCATTAAAATATGTAGGTTTTATGAAGAAAATAATGTTTTGCCAGAATTAGCAAGCCAAACAATTAAAGCTTTAGAAAAGGTTTTAATGAATTATCAAGATAAATTTTCTCAAGAAAATTTAATTTCACCCACTGCAACAAGTTTATCATCATCACGATTATCTCCAACATCACATAATATAAATAATATTAAAATATCAACATCAACTTCTAATCAAACAACAACTTTTGGTGAATCATCACAACCTATGGTCACAGTTTCACCTACATTTGTTACATATTCATCACCAATATCTTCTTCTCAATCTGGAATATTAAATGTAAAGAGAACAACTCCTCCTCCAACATCAAATATAACATCCAATATGACTTCAAATATTCAACCACAAACTTCTTCCTCTTCTCCACCACAAAATTTTTCATATGGTCAACATCATCACCAACAACAACAACAACAACAACAGCAACAACAATCACCTGAAAATACTACTAATAATACTAGAACACAATCACAACAATTTTTATCAGTAAATATTAGTCCATTTGATCAATTTGCCACAATGCAAATTCAATCACCAACAATTATGTCAGCTGCAGTAAATAATGAAATGCCATCTACAGATTCACCATTTTGGATTGGAATGAATATACATCAAGGTCTTGTTGGAGGATTTAATAATAGTCCATATGGTAATCAAATGACAGTCACCAGTCCAGTGTCAGCTACTTCAACGCCATCATTACCATCTAGTACTGTTGCATCACCTGATTATTTCAATTCACAACAACAACAATTATCACAAACAACTGCAACAACTAATACAACAAGACAAAAAACTCCTTCAAATTCTTCAATAACTACTAATAAATATTCCCAGAATTCTTTTAAACCTATTGCTCCTACGAGATCAAATCAAATGTCACTTGATTCAACCGATCATGATAACGATCCCGTGATGACGGAATTGAGGAATGTAGGATTACAAAATGTCCATAATTCTCAAAGGTATGTATTTATGGATACGAATGAAGGTAATAATTCAACCATTGTTAATAATAATAATATTATTAATGACAATGGTGAATTTATTACTGAGGGGGTTGTCTATGGTCGAATGACTAGTACCACAAATGAGACTCATCCACGAATTTTCAACAAGATCTCTCGACGGATAACGAAAGAAGAGGAAGAAGAGGAAGAAGAAGAAGAAGAAGAAGAAAGAAATGGTATCCTACTTCAAGATCATAACGAACTTACCACTACGGCTACTACCACATTGAATTGTAACGGTCATCATACTATAAATAATACTAACAATAATGATAACAACAACAATAATAACGCCGAAGCGATCTATGTATTATCGAGACGACCAAGTGGTGGACATTGTGGAGTAACATCTGGTATAAAATTCAATAATCATCTTGAAATTACTTCTGTCGGTCTCGGTTGTTGCGTAGATGATGATTACGACCAACAATATGATGGAGGGCAAATGGAAGGATATATTGGTCGATAAATACAAAATAAATATAATAAATATAATCACGCGTTGCAATATATTTTTTATTTATTTTTCTGTGTAGATATTAATTAATTAATTATTTATTATTTATTATTATATACATAACGGATATATATTTTTATTTAGGTTGGGAAAATTTGTATACATATATTTTAATTGGCATGAAAATACAGGAAAAGATATCTAATGTTATAGATCTGATAGTATTTTTTTTTATTATTTGACACAGGTTGTCAAAAGGAATATTCTAAGAGTATTCAAAGAATATTCGAGAATATTTCAAAGCAGGAGTTTCTTTTTTTCTCTCTTGGCATTATAACATTCTTAATTCATTGTAAAAATATATCAAATTTTTTAAATTTTTTCATGCATAAATTACATTATAACATTCACTTTAAAACATATATTATTTTTCTTTTTTTGTGAAATATTGTTTGTCCTTTTATATATTTCATTTAAATTACACATTGTTTTACATATTTATATCACTTTCCTTATTCTCTTTTTTTTTCATTGTAATTAAAAGAATCCAATTGTTTTTTTTTTTTTCACTTGTAATCATTACATCCTTCTTCCTCCATTTTACATTTGCATTTCATTGTAAGTAAATTACATACGTTTTTTCTTCTTTTTGTATTTATATTCTATTAAACATAACATATCAAATATATATATATATATTATTCTTATAGAATCACTATAATAAAGACTTTCCATTATTTATATAATAAAATATTCAAGTTATTTTGCTCATGAAAATTATAACCACTTTTTTAGGCTACGATTATGACGGAAAAATTTCGGAGTATTTTAAATGTTAAAAAAAAAAAAAAATCGATCAGTACCATTTTTTTATTATATTTTAAATATCAATTACTTTACTATGTAAAAAATATAAAAAGTCGCCTCAGTTCAAAGTGAAGAATTTATTTTTTTTTTACTCATAGTTATCGTTAAAAATGATTTGTTCATCTTTGGCATTTTTTGCTTTCGTTATACAATTAACATGTAATTAAAAATACATACCTTTTGCATAAGAAGGAAAAAATCTAAACCAGAATTTCATTACACATTATGCTACACGATAATTCATGTGATAAAAAGTTTACGTTAGGGTTATGGTCAGTTTGCAATAAATTTATTTTTAACTATGTCCTATGACCTCCATATGACCATAGTATACATATGGAACATATGGAAGCACAGTTTCAATAAATAATCATAAGTTTTAGTTAATATATATTTTGCTTTTCATTTTTCACTTAAAATCAACTTTATTTTATACTTTAATTTTCTTTGAGTTTGAAATTTCTTTTTTAGTTTGATAATCTAATTAATCCAATCTCTTGACATTAAAGGTTATCATAGATTAAACATGATCATCAATAATTACATTTATGGTAATTAAATTGAAACGTGTCAAAAATCAAAAATATTATTTGTGGTAAGTCGTACAATTCTGAATTTGGAAATTTATGAAAGAACGCGATTCGCGTGTTGTTGAAACTGATTATCAGTATTAAAGTAATAAAAATCGACTGACACATATTGTAATATCTAAATATAAATAACCCAGTGTTTCCCTTTTTCACCTTAACACTTTTCTATTAGGTTTAATTTTTCGATTCATTCATTACATTCATTAAGATATTTAAGATATTGATCTTTCGTTAAAAGATTATTATACAGTGAATCCTCTGTATAAGTGCATCCCTCTATAAACCCTATACTCTAGTCCCGTCCGCTAATAGCATTTATGAAATTTTTCTCTAAAAATGTATTCCCTCTATAAATGCATCTAATAAAATCAAACAACTTTATAAAACACATCCACAAGCAATTTATACCAGTAGACTTCTCAATTTTACAAATCTTCCAAAATCTAAAAATGAAGAAAATTTTGATGCTGGTTCCTGTGGGTTGCATCATAGAGGGTCCTACTGTCTTGAAAAAAATAAAACCTAATGAGATTCATTTTGAACGATTTTGATATTATCACGCGAGAATCTTTGCAACTTTGCAACATAAAAGTAAAAGACCAAATGCACGTGAAATAAAAATAGAATTTATTTTTTAATTTTCTTTTTTCTCGTTTTTACGAAGAAGAAAATTCTTAAAATAAGAAGCTTTTCTTCTTTCGATTCAGATTATCTCCTTATTTTGATTCTGATCAGATGATCGGTTCCAGGGGAAATTTTTTTTCGATTAAGATCTAAATATTTATTATTTTTAATAAATCGATTTTGGCAAAGCGGACATGAAAAAAAATCATCGTGTTTTTATCGTATAACATAAATAATATAATATCGTTATTTAACATACATATGAAAAATTTTGAAAATACTTAGATTCCAAAGGACCAGATAAAAATAACTTTTTAATTATGAAAAATTTATTTAATTTAAATACTTAATTACTTTAATTACTAATTTAAATAAATATTATATAATATAGCTATGTATAAAGATTTATGTAAAAAAACTATAATTTAATAAATTTTTATTTTATGATTATATACTTCTTCCTTCTTATCTTAGACGAATGCCATCATTTTCAAGTATTTTCTGATAAAAAGAGATTTTAAAAAATTTAAAATTATTAACGTGTTGAACAATGATATTGAGAAATTTTGAAACTCTTTTGGTCTAAAAGTTTCATATCAGAACTCAATTCTTTTTTTTCGACTTTTGCTTTAGGTTTTGATCTTTTCGGACAAAAAAAAACAAATAGAAATCTTCAAAATTTATTTTTTGTTAACGTCACCTCCTCATTTATACGACTAGACAAAATAACCAAGATAAAGCCAAGATAAAAGCCAAGAAAAAATAAAATCAACAATAAGAATTCTGGAATCCTTAATTTCCTTTTTGATATTCTTTTGGTTATATAGTAGTATTTTTTTTGTTATATTTTATTATATATTTGTCAATGTATTCAAAAATTTATAGAATGAAAGAAATTTTCATGAATGCATGATATTGTTCAAATCATTGTAAAATTTGAAATTTAAAATCAATTCATTTTACAAAATATCTGTAATAATTGTAAATTTTTTATACATATAATTTTTTTTTTACAAGCACATGAACCATTATCTTAGAATATATTGTATACAATGAATTCAATTTTATTGAAGTTGACTGCAAGGCAAGGTAAGTTTTTTTTTGCACATTCAGATATAATTTTAACAATTATAATTTTTTCAGGGTCTGACTAATAAATATTCAACAAGAGCAATAATGTGAAGATCATACCTTCATAAACTCTTTGGTTTTTGCTATATTTCAAATTTTTTTCACTATTTTCTTTATCATTTTCACTTTTCACTATAATTTTCACTATAATTTATTATATGCAGTGACAATTTTTATCCTGATTTTTTTTTTTTTTTTTTTTAAAAAAAAAAAAAAAGATAATGATAATAGAAATTTCTTGAATTTAAACAATGGATCAGTATATATTGTTTTTTTAAATTGTAAAAATATTTTCTTGCATTTTTTTGCATTGTGATTACAGTATACAGAAGAATACAGAACATACAGGATTATATGATATAATGCGTGATTATTATGAGCATTTTCTTGTAATGTATTCATTGTAGTCTCCTCAATTATATCCTCAATTATATCCTCTGCATTATAAATAATGAAATTTCTAAATTCATCGTTATACATATAAAAAAAAGAATAATGATAGTTAAACAAATTATAAATGGTAAATTTTTAATATTTTATAGTCACAAGGTTAATATGATTTGGCAAATTTCTTGCATATCATCTTGCAGTAGAAATATGTAATCCATTCTCTATAAGAAAACGAAACTAAATACGTGACTTTTCAATTTGGGAGTAGTGCATTAACATTTATATACTTTGATGCATAACGAAAATAACATAATGATTCATCTTCCGTATATATCGTCTATAACATCTATGGTTTTTCTATTATGAAATCATTACCTATGTGTGTATATATGTACTGATTACTTATAAATATTTGTTAATTATTTATAAGTTGGTCTGTGTTAATCTGTATAAGCGATAATTGTTATTTTTTTTTTTGGCACTTGAATCTCCCTAAAGAAAATTTTTGTTGATGTGATAATACATGCAATAACAAAGACAATACATGCAATAATAAATTTAATATGCAATAATACATGCAAATAATAAAGATAATACATACAATAATAAAAAAGAAGATTAATAATATTTTATTATTATCATCCTTTTTTTTTAAGATAGTAATTAAAGATAAGCTACATTAAGAATATTATGGTAAATGCCAATATATGAAACGCTCAGCTTGAACCTTATTCGTTTGACATTTTTGATTATGCGTTGATAAGATTTAATAATAAATTAATTCTAAGATTAAGTCATGTGATTTTACGTCAAGTATGAAAAAATTGCGGAGTTTGCATACACATACTTTTACAAGGCATTGAAGAAATTGTGGGGTGTCTTTCTGCAAAGAGATTACAAAGCAAGAAAAAAAAAGTCAAAAACTGATGCTTCGATCTGAAACACGTGTTAATATGTTGATTTAAATATAATTAAATAAATGATTGTATGTAGATTAAATGCATGATTAAATGTATGATTAAATGTATGATTAAATGTTATGCATTTCAAGAATATTATTATTTTTTACCTTTATTATTTTGGTATTTTTTATCATTTTATTATTTTTATTTGATGGTTCTAATAAGAGAGTATGATGCACAACAAAGCAGTTAATGTGAAAAAAAATCGAATATTATAATTATTATATTATTTGGCAATTAAAAAATGACCATTCAACGCAGAAATACAGAATATATATATATATATATGTATATATAATATACAGTGGGATATAAATAAATTATTTCAATATTTTACAACAATGCTCAAAGTTTTCATTGTTCAAATATCATATTGACATACGCAAAACATTGCCCAACTTGCTAAATTTGAATATTAGAAAAAATAAAAAAAAAGTATTTTAGCCGATTTCGAACATTTCAACTCGCCAAAACAATGGAAGGATTTTTATACATCATTACATCATGTGATATTATTTATTTATTTGTTTTATAAATTACCTATTAGCATTTACAAAATTGGTAAAAAAATAAATTTAAAAAGTCTAGTCAATCAATTAAACAAAAAAAAAAATATGTTGAAATGATATAATATATGTGAAATGTATAAATATATTTTTTTTTTTTGGCTGTGTCTTGTTTGTATGCAATAAAATTTTTTATAAATTTCTGGTTGGACATAGTAAAAACCACCAATATTTTCTCCGTAATTTTTTTTTTTTATTATATAAATTCAAATTCAATCTTTTTCTGCATTCATTGATGGCGTAATGACAGACATACTAACTGCCTGTCATAATTCGCCACCTTTCAATTTTCACCATTCAAGTAAGTGGTAATCAAGTATTAACTCGAGCAATAATTTTGGTTCTAAATCTATTAATAATTCATTTATTAATATAATTCATTTGTTACCAAATCCGAAGATTGAAAAAAAAATATTTATGACTAAAAATTCTTTAGATAGATAGAGAATTAATAGAAGAAACATTTTTTACGACTTAAACATCTTTTAAAACAAATTTAGGATAGGGATTGGACAATGTTATCTTCCACTTTTAGTAAAACAATTAATTAAAAAAAAAAAAGAAAAGAAAAACATATTTGAGCATTTAAAGTATCTGGTATTCTAATATATCTTTATTATTATAAATTACAAAAAAACTTTTTTGTCTTTTCTCGTGTTTATTTATTACTGCTCCGTACATCTCTCGTCATTGACTTGCTAAATATGTAAAGGTGGTCATTGTTTATATGATGACCGATGATATTGAATGGCGTTCAACCAAAATACTACTGTTCGATAATAATAAAATAAAATAAAAACAATGCAAGAAAACAATGACAAATGTTAAGATTAATTTATTGTTATTACATACATATATACTAATTTATTTTACATATATTTATTTATTAATTTTATTAATTTAATAAATAATAATATTAATCATCATTTTTTTTTATATATTAAATTAAATTTTTCATATAAACCCCGAATTATTTGCTCTTACTAATTTCCTTTGCAACTCTCTTCTTCGAATTTTTTTACGGATTTCTTGTTTGTTTTTTTTTCGATCATTCTTTGCACATACATATCATATGATGTGTAGAAGAATTACGTTTTTAAGAGGGACGCCAACCAACTAGTAAAATGCAAGTAACTTAGAATTGTTAAGATTGTGCCGTGTCAATGTAATTTTTATCTTATATGAATTAAGTTTAAGCAATTGTAAGTATTATATTTTAGTATATTAATTCAATATATATTAATTTATTATTGATTCAATTCATTCATTATTATTATTATTAATTCATTTATTATATTAATTCATTATAAAAAGTTATTGATTTAATTAAATTAATTTTTTTTTTATTTTTTTTATTTTGTTATTTCGTTAATTCTCAATAGAAGAATTTTTTTTTTAAGCAGTGCGCGGAACTCCAAAACCCTAAGCAAAATCAGAAACGCATGAATTCGAAAAAAATCTCAATTTAATCATTTGCGTGTTAAATTATAAAACGATTAAAAATTATTCTCTCTCTGTTTATTATTAAAATTTAATTTTACAGTTGGATCTGGTTGTGATATCATGTCATCAGGTCTCGGAGAATTTTTATATATAGAAAAAAGAACATTTTTTTATTATTATTCACAACATAAATATATAGAGAGAGAGAGAGACATCTATTATCAAAATTCTCTTAGACCGAATTCAAAAACATTTTAATATAGAGTATTTTTTCTTGAATCAACAACAAAAAGAACATTTTTCACAGATCCTCTGTAAATATATATATATATATATTCGAAATTAATAAGCGTAAAATTCGATTCTCTTCGTATCTTCTCGAGCGACCCAATCATATTTCCCACATCTCTTTAAATTGATTAAATTACTTTATTTCCCCTCCCATTATTAATAAACATCGTTTTTTCTAATTTCTTAATTTCATATTTTTCTTTTTACAGCTATACATCATCGACCCATTTGACTTTCTATCATTTTTATATAGGTACCGGATTTTTTCCAAAAATTTCTTTTTTTTTTTATACCGATTTTTCTTCGTGCGTTTCTGATAATTTGATTTTTCCTTTATTTTGGAAAAAATCTTATATATTTTATTTTATTTTTTTTACGAACAAATTATAAGAAAAAAAAAATTTTAAATTATGTAGTTTTATTCTTTTTTCTATCATAATATGATTTTCAATAGTTGTTAAATAAATAGTTATTATATTTCTTTTTTTCCTTTTTTTTTCTCTTCTTTTTTCTATTTTCTATTTGTTTTTTGAAATAATCAAATAAATTCTTTTTAATAAATATTTTATTTTTGATCGCGTTGTATTTAAACATCAAAAAAAGATTGCATATTATAAATGTGAATCACGTGAATATTTATCACAGTTTTCCCACACACTTACTTATTCGGATATATATAAATAATTGCGTTATACAGATATAATTATTCAAAAAAAAAATGATTCTAAACTAGTCAAATTTTATCACAAATCTTTAAAAATAATTTTTATTTTGATCACAAGAAAAAATTATTGTGAAAATAGTATGATAATTTATGAACCTTATTGACGGTTTAAATAGATAATCATCGAATTCAGCAAAAAATCATTATAAAAAAAAAAGGGAAAAAAAAACAATTAAAAAAATCGAAATTGTACATTTTCTATATATATTTTTTAAACCCCCTCGAAAAAAATCTACCTAAGATGGTGTATTATGGTTTATTTAAACTGGCAAAAAATATTTACGTCCTCACTCGCATGGCGAAAGGGATCATAAAGAAAGTTTCCAGACCCAGACGAAGAAATACCACCAATTGTGTGAATTCGAGTAATAAATCCGAGGTTCAACCAATTTTGATGTTTATATTGTTATTTATCTTGTGTTGTGGATTTTTTGTGAGTTTTGTGTTATTCGGTATAGTTTTATGTTGCGGATTTTTTGTGTGCTGTGTGTTGTTTTGTATAGTTTTGTGTTGTTTCTTATTTTGTATTATTTTATGTTTTATGACATTTACTGATTTGGGCAGAATGAACTCATCATAAGATGATCATTACATTCAATTATCGAAGAACAATGGGTAAATACCAAATACAATTATAACAATGTTAGAAAACAATTCTAGAAACAATGATCAAAATAATTCCATTCATTGAAGGGGGTGGGGATTGAGGAAGGGATGGGATCAGTGTTTGAAATTCAATGTGTGAAATGTGCGCTAGCATTTATAACCAATCAAAATTTGCATAACCTTAATTTAAATGTTTAATCTTATTTTGAATTTCTCAATAAATCTTTATTTTTATTTTTATTTTATTTTATTTTTTTTTTTTAAAAAAAAAAAACCAATTTAAATTATTAATAATAATGTTGCAATCAAGTTTTTTAATTCAACCCATAAAAAGGTTTAATGTTTCATCACCAACTTATAAGAAACCTGTAGAAATAGGTAATTTTAGTTATGACGAACAACGAGTTTTGCATATGGATGATAGAGAAATGGTATCTATCGTAATCTCGTCCGTTTTGTCTTTCTACTGGTCTGCTTCTTTTTGGGGATGAGATATTAATTATATTATATTATATTATATTATGTAATATAAATATAATATAAATTATAGAAATATTATCATCCACCAGATTTAAATAATTGTGATCTCTCGGATGGATATGAAACATTTATACAAAGAAATGGAAGTGGGATAGAGCCAATTCATTCATTAATAGATGCAATAGAATATTCTAAATCATCAGATAATAATAAAAATGACAATTTATATACAGCTGATTTGGTATGTTTTTTATTTTTAAAATTTTATGTTTGTCTTTATTAAAGTAATTGACGTAATTGATGTAATTGATATAACAACAATTAAATAGGTTTCGTGGAGAGGAGTTTTCACAAAGATTTTATGTGCGCCATATAATAAAAATGAACCTTGGGAACTAGGAGCTACATTATGGAATGTAAATGATAAATTCCTTATGAATTGTGTTTTATTATTATATTTATGAAATATTATTTATTAAATTAATAATATTTATTTATTAATTTTATTAATTATAGCACACGATGTATGTATAAAATTTATTTATTATTTCATTGTCATTGTGTTATTGTGACAACAATAATACATAATATAATAAATAAGATATATGTATATATATAACAATGCAATATTTAAATAGATTTTTAGAAGAGCACGAAACGGAACAAACCAGAGAACGTAATTTTGGAAATTCACCTCGACATAAATTAATGATTTATTGGGGATATAAATTTGAAAATTTGAGTACTATCAATAAACCATCTTCTCAAATTACTTCACCTGATGACCCTGAATTAATTAACCGTAAATACACGGTGGTTAATACCAATACTCAATATTGTTCAGTGGCAAAAACTACGTTGGGTAATACTAGAATAATAATGGGAGCTGAAGTTGATTGTATTTCTGGTGAGTTTTTTTTTTTTATTATTGGTTGTTGGTTATTACATATTATTATTTTTGTTATTATTATTATTATTATTATTATTATTATTATTATTAATTATTATTATTATTATTATTATTATTATTATTTAAATTTGTAAAGATACAAAACCAATAGATTTAGATAAATCAGTAGACAATTATATCGAATTAAAAACTACTAAACTTTTAGGAAAATCTAAAGATATTTACAATTTTGAAAGGTAAAGAAAATATTTATATCTTTATATATTTATATGTTTATATCTTTATATGTTTATTTGTGTGTTTGTATGATAACATCTCATCTCATAATACCATATAATTAAAATATTAGATATAAATTATTGAAATTTTGGGCTCAATCATTTCTAATTGGTATACCTAAAGTTATTGTTGGATTTAGAGATGATAATGGATTCGTTAAACAAGTAAAAGAATATAAAACTTTGGAAATTCCTCGAATAGTCAGAGGAAAATCTGGGATGTGGGTAAGTATTGTATTTAAATATTGTTTATTTATCAAATATATATATTTACATATATATTTATTTATATTAGGATCCAACTGTTTGCTTAAATTTTGCCGATCAATTTTTTGAATGGTTAAAGAATGTAATAGTAATTAATGATCCAAAATCATCTTACACTATAACTTTTAATAATCCATTTCAAGAAATTAAAGTAAAATACGCTGATTTAGGAAATTCTGTTTTAGCTGAAAGACATTATATAAAATGAAATGATTATTGGTTTTATTTTTCTTTACTTTTATTACATTAGTATTATTGGATTCTTGTCAATTTAGCATTGGTTTTAGTAAATTATGAATTCCTTTTTGATAATTGACAAGATCAATAATAATACAAAATAATATAGTATTATTAATATTAAAAAATTAATCCATAATTAATTTCATAATTAAATTTAATCTTTATATAACTATGATTTCTTTTTTAAATAAAGGTGCCAATATGTACAACAACAAATAATATCTTATGATGATTTTTTTTAATTGCAAAAATAAGACTTTCTCTTTTTCTTACTCAAAAATTGTGCAAATAAAATGAAAAGAGAATGTAAAGAATGTTATTTTATATATATATATATATATATATATATTACTCAAATGTTTCATAAATAATTTTGATTTATTTGTCATGATATGCCAATTGTTCTTGACAAAGTTTAGCAGAATGGATACCTTATGATAGGTTTCAGGACATTAAAGAAATAACGAGTGATTTTGGTACTTTATATATATTAAAAAATATTACTTATATAAAGAACCAATGAATACAGATCATTATAATTATGTTTCAATTATGGATAACAATAGATCCAGAAATTAATAAATACGTGATTGTTTTAGAGTATATGCCTGGTGGAAATTTTAGAGATCATTTAAAAAAGAATTTTTAATCTGTCTTGTATCCTCTCACGCATTTTAATTGGAAAAATATTACTAAAGAGACTGAACGTGTAGTTTTATCAGGTCAGGATTTTCATAAAATAAACTAAATAAAATAGTCGGGAAAAATTTAGAAAATCCAGAAAAAAAAGAAGTATTACCCTCTCAAAATATAATGTGAGGAATGAGTAAATAGCTTATGAGATTATTACTGATTTGCACCATATATGTAATTGCTTATGACCAAAAATTCCATTTTACATTCCAAAATTAATTACGAGATGTTAGAATGCTCAAATTACTTATTGACCTTACTTTTGAAGAAAATAAAAATAACAATTTAAATTGAAAATACTGACAAATTTTCAAGACACCTATCAAATACAACCACCAAGAATTACAAATCACATCCAGAAGCAGTTTTTACCAAATAGACTTCTCAATTATTCAAATCTTTAATTTATATTTTTATAAAATAAACTTATTATTAAATTTTAGCGTATTTTATTATGAATTCAATTAGCTTAAAATTATTAATACTAGATATATAATATCAATCATATTCATATGAATAAGTTTTCTAATTGATTATAACAAATATTATTTTTAAACTAATGAAACCAATATTATTATCTTTTTTAATACATAAAACATGCTAAAGCCGGAGTTTTTTTTTGGTATTAATGTTGCTTCAATTACAAGTTTTATTAAAATGTAACAGAAATAAAGTTTTCTTTCAAATTCCATTCACACTTGAATACTATTTATGTTAGTCACACTAGCATTCACATACTCCAAGCGCGTTAAACTTTATTAACTTGAATTTTTTTTTGGTTTTGAAATTCTTTCTTCCTTCTCGATAGAAAGAAAAAAAAATCAATTATTAAATGTATTACAGATATCAAATTTTAAAAGATGATACTATTTTTTATAATTAAAAATATTAATCTATTGTTATTTTGATTTAGTTGCTTCTGAATTGTATGTAAAAAATATTTAAATCATATTTTTATAAATATTTTACTTGTTTTTATATTATAGTGTCATTATGTTTTAATTAAACATCATGAAATCTTTAACATCAGGTATAGATTATGAATTCACTATAATTATATAATAAATAATAAAATATTGTAATTAAACTATTAAATCATTAAATACTAAATCATTAAATACTAAATCATTAAATACTAAATCATTAAATACTAAATTATTAAATACTAAATTATTAAATACTAAATTATTAAATTATTAAATTATTAAATATTAAATTATTAATGTTCACAAATCTTCTTCCAACTTAACTAAATATTGGACTAGTTAAAAATAATAGGATTTTTATAAATTTTGGCATATTTTCCTAATGCCCAAATTGGAAAAATAAACTTATAATTTGGATAACTAATTGCACAGGATTTATTAAAAATCCCTTCAATTGCTTCTTGTTTCCATTCACCAGTTAATAATTGACGTGAAATTAGAAACTATCATTAATATAATTAATAGCAATAATAGTATTATTAAAAAGTATAATTAATATCATAATCATTATAAGATATTATAAGATATTATAGTAATATTATTTTAAAAATTACCTGAATACCACGACGGATATCTTTCTCGTTTGGATATTTAGCATACAGTAAAGCAAGTATTGCCCATGAAGTATTTACGACTTGCGATTCTTTATGTTGAATATATTCTGATAATTCACATGACTATATTATTATTATTATTATTAGAAGAAGAAGAAGAAGAAGAAGAAGAAGGAGATTATTTAGAATATTATTTAGAATATTATTGATGAATAAATATTACTATATATTCTTACTTTAAATGATTCACCCCATCCACCATCTTTTCTTTGTTTAGAAATTAAGAATTTACATCCTTTTCTGACGCTTTCACTAAAATTTTTTTAAAAATATTAATTATAGATAATATTATATTTTTTTTTATCTAGGATATAATATTACCTATTTTCATAAGTCTCTCCGAAAGCTTCCAAACATTCCATTGTAAACATTGCAGCATAAGTGAAGCAAATAGCCCATGATCCATACCAACTTCCATCATTACGCTGTGAATTGTGAATATATTTTATAGCATTTTCACAGGTTTCTCTTTATATAATAATAAAAATACATTAATAATAAATTGGTAATTATATAATAATAATAATAATAATAATAATAATAATAATAATAATAATAATAATAATAATAATAATAATAATAATAATAATAAATTTTACTTGATTTCTTCTGCACGATAATCTGGATAATACTTTGAGAATAAACTTAATGCTGTTATCACGCTGGATGTACATTCAGGGTAATTATATTCAATCATGATATTTCCAAATATTTCAGCTGGATTTATCCATTCTAAAAATGATGGTCCACGAATTTTTTCATAACTCGCAAAACCTCCATTACTATTTTGAACAGCTAATAAAAGATCTATAGCTTGACGCATACGTTCTTCAGATATTAGTTTTGGTGTGTAACTTTAATAATATTGAATTTATTTAATTTCTTATATAAGTATATTGTTAATATAATTAATAATATTAAATATAATAATAAGATAAGAAAAAAATACCTCAATTTATTTTGAAAATTAAGAGTCGACCTTAATCCTATAGAGGTACAATCTGTTACAAAATATCCTTGATCACGCGTACTGAATCCCCATGCTCCTTTAGTCGGTTCTCTATAGCACCTTGAATAATCTTCAGGATCTTTTCTAAATTGAGAATAATCTATAAACTTTAATGCTTGTATTGATGATTCATGAAATGTTGGATCTTCTGCTAATCCTATAAAATATAATTAAAAATATAATTAAAAATATAATTAAATATATAATTAAATATATAATTAAATATATACATATAGAATTTAAATGATAAATAATAATATACCTGTATCTACTAAAGCAAGAGACATAAGGGCAGTGTCCCATAATTGAGTACCATTAGTACCACTTGACAACATTCCTTCAGAAGTCATCCTAAAAATTATTGAATTATAAATATTATTATAAATGATATAAATATTATAATGAATTTTTATAAATAATATATTACCATAAATAATCAATGATTCTTTCTTTAGCTAATTTGAATGCATTAGAATCTGGACCTTCTTCATAATAAGTGCAGAGCATATGTATACATTTGTTTACCTATATATATAAATAAGAATAAATAAAGATCAAATTTAAAACATTGAATTCATTGAATTAATTGAATTTGTTAATCATACAGGAGCAATGTCAAGGTAATCTGTATTTATATCTTCATATTGTATTAATTTATAACTTTCTTCAAGAGCAATATCACGAAGACCAAAGAGATTTGGGATTTTTTCATAAATATTTAAAAAAACTTTGAAAAAAAACAATGTTAAGTTTAATTATTATATTATTATTATCATCATTAAATAAATAAATAATAAACAAATGAAAGAATCAAATTTGAAATTGATTTTTTTTGTGAAAAAAAAAAAAAGAGAAAACTTACAATTAGTAAATTTCAAAAGTTTTGAATGAGGCACATAAAGATCAGCTTCTGCAATGTTGCCCCGTGCCTTAGCCCAATTTATTGTTTCATAAGGTTGTGTATATAATTCTTGTCTCAATTGCATAATCAATGATGTTTCTTTAGCACTTAATCTCCGACCATAAACATATCCCATAGGAAGATAAATAACACGTGTGTGAATCCAATACCGAGCAGGATGAAATGGAAGAAAATAAGGAAAAAGCCTATTCATTAATTAGCATTGATTACATCTAAATTAACATTAATTAAACTGGTAATAAAAAAAAAATTAAATACCATAATTCTGGTGGAATCGGATTAAGTCCTTCCCAATCATAAACATTTAGACTTGCGAGCCAAAATTTACCCCATGAAGGTATACCAATAGCACCACCTAAAAATATACATCTATAAATACAAATAAACTAAATTGAACTAAATTAAAATTAATTAAATTAATAATACCAAGTTTATGTAAAGTTGATCTAGCTTTAATCATTGCTGGATGATCTACATCCACTCCCAAAATTCTAAGTGAAACATAATTCATTACAGTCCCGAAAACTGTTGAATGATGTTCAATATGTCTAATAATGATAATAATAATGATGATAATAATAATAATAATAATAATAATAATAATAATAATATAATATTTTGAAGAAATAATTAAAATTAATTGTAAAAAATAATTAAAAAAAAATAATTATTATTAAATAAAATTAAACTCACAATCCCCATCCTCCATCAACAGGATGAGCTCGATAAAATAAATATCTAATCAATTCTACTCTCCAACTTTCTGGAATTGGTATTTGAGTAATATACATTGAAAATACAATTCCTGGAATCACAAACATTGGTCCTCCACAATCTCCTGCCCAATGACCATCTTCAGTTTGAAGTTGCTTATAGAATTTAAATCCATTCTTGGCAGCTTCTAATGCGTTAGTTGGCTTAATAAATTCTTTTGATTGCTATAATTATTAATTTATTTAATTTGTTTTTTTTTGAATAATTAAATAATTGATAATTAAATAAATAATTACATAGAAAAATCTATACTTCTTACAAAAGGCAAATCAAGCCAATATTTCTCAATAATAGATTGAGGCCAATTCTTAATTTCATCTTCATGCTCTAAATAATGCCACGTTTGTCTTCCATTTTCAACTTTTAGTCTCCAATTTTCTAAGTTTGTTCTTTTAGTATCTATGTTTATTTCTTTCATATTCTCTTGAAAGGAAAATTATTTATCATCAAAAGATAATCGAGTATAAATATTTTTTTTTCGTAATATTAATGTAGTACGACAATCCAAGATTTGTGCGTAAATTTCTATAAATGGACAAATTTCAGGAGATATTTACCAGAATATTTATCACGCCCTTCGAATATCAATTTTTTATCCGATATTTGTGTACAAATCTTGGTGATTCGAATATATAAATAGGTAACATAGTTTTAATGTGTCTTACGTACTTAAATTGCGTAATTTATACATATTATATAGTATCTGATTTTTTTAAATTTATTTACAGTAGGGAGGATTACACAAAAGCTGCTGATATGCATATGAGATTTTGAAGAATTAACTAAATCGGTTTAGTATTAATAAGTTTACATTATTTAGTATGGTTATTTTGGATATTTACACTTCCCCGAGATTTTTTTTGATATCAAGAATTAAACCTCCAGATTTACAAAACGTCATCATCGTCCAAGATAGTGTATATATGTTAACATGTTTCAAGCCTCATTTTTTAATGTGAAATTTTACACCTGAAACTTTTTAATTTACTTCAAAGTTCGGAAATTTCCTTTCTAGATCTAGATTTTTAATTTGTAAATCCTTAATAAAATAAAATATCTAAAAATAGTGATTTAATATTAAAAAAATACGTAAATAGAAAAAATGGATATTTTTTTTTGCGAAATATTTATATAAATAAAAAAAAAAAAATACAATTTCTTTATTTCTTTGTATTATAAAAGTAACAAAAAAAAAAAAAAAAACGGATAAACAATTAATACTCACACGCTCAAAAATGAATACAATGGGGATGAATTGCACTAATAAAGAGGATTGTGCTGAAGATGAACTTTGCGCATATAAACAAAATAGTTATACATGTCAATTATGGAACTTGGTAGGAAATGATTCATGGATTATAAGTGGAGGAACTCAAGTTTGGTATCCACCAGAAAACGAAAAAACGGTATCTCAAAAATGTGAATCCCCTCCATTACCATCAAATTTGGATAAATTTTATGGAAATTGTCAAGATAATCTTTTTTGTGATGGTGTGTGTATGCAAAAACTTCATGCGGGAACAAAATGTGTTTCAAATTTCCAATGCATCGAAAATGCAAGATGTGAAGATAAAGTTTGTACTTCGAATAGTTCTTTTTCCTCAAAAACGACTATCATAGTTGTTATATCACTATTGTTGCTGATAGCTATATCGTTAGTAGTTATAACATGTTTAATAAGAAGGAAAAAAGGTATGATAATTATTCATTTATTTGTCATTCATTTATTCATTCATTCGATCTGTTATGTCCACTTTTTCAACTTTTATTCTTTTGTTGATATACAAAGTAGAAAATCGATTATCAAGAAAATTAAGTAATAATTTCGAAGATCCTTCCTCTCAACGATTAAGCAGCGCGCGTTATTCATCAACAAATCAATCTTTAGCCATCACCATAAACGGTGATCTCATAGAAAATGGTCCATACTACGGTGATAATAGTGATCTAAGAAGATATAGACTCGATTCATTTATGAGCCAGTTACCATCATACCAAGAAGCGACGAATAATAATAATGTTAATTCTACTGCCACACTTTTTAGAACTTCATTACAACAACTACAAGAACGAGAAAATAGATCTAATACAACAAGTAATAATACTGATGATAGTAGTAATAATAATAGTACCAATTCAACTTCAACTCGACGTCTTTCTTCTGTTTCATCTCGACGATTTTCCTTTAGTTCTTTTCGTTCTTTTCAAAGTATTTTCAATTCATCAAGTCGACGTCTTTCCTCTAATGACATGAATCAATCCACCATTTTATTTGAAGATGAATTTTATGATAGTCCTCCTCCTGCTTACATTTCTTAAAAATAACTTTGTTTTATTAACACACACACCATTTAAAAAAAAAAAAAATAGAAAATTAATATTTTGTAAATACATAATTTTTTTTTATTTCATTAAACAGATTTTTAAAGAATTACTTCTCATCATGCATATATATATATAGATTTTTTTGAATTCTCCAGGAACTTGTTCTAATATTGAAATAATAATAATAATAATAAAATAATAATAATAACAAAAATAATTAAATAATAATAATAACAAAAATAATTAAATAATAATAATAACAAAAATAATTAAATAATAATAATAACGAAAATAATTAAATAATATAATTACATAATAATAAATAAATTTACAAAATGATTCTAAAAGCTTTTAAATATTTAAAAAATCTTCATTAAAATAATAAATATTTTGTTAAATATTTTATTCATTAATAAATAACTTATTTAATATTTAATATAATTACATAATAAAATACAATATTCCTAAATTTATAAAATTATTTTAAATGATTTTAAATGATTTTAAATGATTTTAAATGTTTTAAATATTTAACAAAAATTCTTCTCAATAATCAAAAAAAAAACAAAAAAAAAAAAATTTATCTTCCCAAAATGCCCATGCTATTTCCCACACAAAATAAAATAAGTAAGAATAACATTAAAATGAATGCCACGATCCATGTATATTGTCTGACTAATATAAAATACATAATCAAAAAACCAATTATGAAATACATTAATATCATCCATTGTAAACTTTTATTTTCTCTTATATTACGAAATGATCTCCAACCATTATATGTCGATTGAGAAGCTTGAGGTGATTGATTTGGATTATAATCACCAATTCGATCAATTAAAAATCCATTTTCCGGTATCAAACGATTCAAATGCCTACGTGTTGCCACAAATGTTCCGGTCGCTCTCGTTTCCCCTAAATTTTGTGTCGATGAATTTATGGCAAATAATTGAGAATCAGATGGATCTAACGCATTAGCTTTGAAATATTGTCGTACTCGGGTTTTCATTAAAAAATCATCATCCGTTCCATAATATATTGCTTTATAATAAAATATTGATGATTCTATTTCATTACTTTTTTGTGATGATGATGAAGGTTGTAATGTCGACGTCGTGTGATTGATGGTAGATGATATGTTTGAAATTTCTTCGTCATCTATATTTAAACGGATTTCATTATCATTTTGTAAATTTATTATTTCTGATTCTTTGATTTTTGGATTCATTTTTTCTAAATGAGAATTTGATGATGATGATAATAATGATAATGATTTGGCTCTTTTAATGTTATTAGAATGTTCTGGTTCAAATATTTTTGGTGGTTTTTGTATTGAATCACCTGTTGACCACCTAATTTTTTCCGATAATATAATAACTTCATCTGATGTTTGATTAATTTGATATATAGGCAATGAATGAATTGATATATTATCATCTCTGATTGATAATTCTTCATTATTAATAATAATATTATTATTATCAATTGATATATCTTTATCACGTGATAAGTCAAGTGCAGAAGTTGCAGATATATCGACCGTTTCCGTGAGATTTAACGTCGTTACATGTGAAATTGTTGACTTAGAAGAAGGTTTAATAATAGGTTGTTCTAATTTAACAGTTTCAGCTTTGACAACATAATAATGTACATCTCCGATAATATTCATATTGTTTAAGGGCTATAATAAAAAGAAAGAAAGTTAACTAATAAAAGAAAAAATTTTATTCACAGGTTTCAAAGAAATTAAAAATATAATAGAATTATACTTGCATTTTTAGCTTTCATTCGGTGTAATAAACCTTGCTCGGGTTGAGTCCGAAACAACACTTTATTGATGTGATGAGCTGAATAATGGGATTGATACATTTTTGTATTATCTAATGGGTCAGAAGTAATTACTCTAGCTAATATAAAATTTTTGCCTTGTTCCGCATGTTGCTGTATGAGTGTATCAAAAGATTCTATTGTGAATGGATCCTCCGTTGTTGCGTCCAGAACTTGGATTAATTTTAAATTATCCGTCGTATTATTAAATTTATTTTTATTGTTTTCTGGTTCTTTTAATGGTTTAAAAAGTTGAATAAATCTTCCATAAGTTGGTAACATATCTTCCATATCAAGAGAATTTAATTCTTTGGTTCTGTCAACAGTCATATTTTTAAATAGAAGAAGTTTTAATTTTTTACAATATTCACAATATTAAATAATAAAAATAATTTGATTCAGCCATATATATATATTTGTGGTATACATTTCCGTGTAGAATAATCTTTAATGTTTTTAGTAATCACTGTGTTCCCAGTAAAATGTAATACATGTATCTTTTCTTTCATGGCAAGAAAATGGTATCGCATGTTACCATAACAGGTTTAAACAATCGAATGAATAACCAAAAAAATTGACCATTCTTATCTTAGTCGTAAAAAAAAAAAATGAAACATTTTTAAATTAAAAATTTATATATACGTATAATATCTTATTCTTAATATAAGCTTTATTTTCTCTGACAAATAATATGATAATAATAATGACAGATTACAAGTTTATATTTTAGCAAATAAAGATGACATAAAACCATAAAATTATATCGTTATCGTATATAAATAAATAATCATGTTTAGATATCTTTAAACGTTCTGGCGACATGAATAATGTCATTAGAAACGACTCAACCGGTAAAGAAAATTTAGGAGGAGGAAATCTTAAAAGTGAGTTATATACTCATAACCAATATGTAAATTATCTTTCTCTTGTTATTAATAATAATAATAATAATAATAAAATTATTTTATTTAAAGATGTCCAATTACAAGAAATAATTCAAAATTGTTTTCCTTTACATCAAAAATTATATTTCAAAATTGATCTCAAAGAACTTTGTTTATATCCTTCCGGAGTTATTATCCGAAAATTTTTGTGTAGACAAATGGAATTATTTCTATTTTACCCTATTCATTCTTTAGCTCTATTTTTTCATAATTTAAATGAAATATACGAAATTCAAATTCCGTTTGACCAAATTAGTAGATTTCATATTGCTAACAATAGACAAATTGAAATTAATTTTTTCACTGGATATTACAAATCCGTAAGGATTAATTTTTGTTTTTTTATTTTTATTTTTATTTATTTTTTTAATTATTTTTAATTATTTTTATTTCTTTAATTATTTTTAATAATTTTTATTTTTTTTTTTAATTATTTTTATTTTTTTTCTAAACATTTAAATATTTTTATTTTTTTTTTAAATTATTTTTAATTATTTTTATTTCTTTAATTATTTTTAATAATTTTTATTTTTTTTTAATTATTTTTATTTTTTTTCTAAACATTTTTATTTTTTTTAAATATTTTTTAAATATTTTTATTTTTTTTAATTAATTATTTTTATTTTTTAATTAATTATTTTTATTTTTTTTAATTATTTTTATTTTTTTTTAATTATTTTTTATTTTTTTTTAATTAATTATTTTTATTTTTTTTAATAATTTTTATTTTTTTTTTAATTATTTTATTTTTTTTAATTATTTTTATTTTTAGTGTTTTGTTTATTCAAATAAAGGAAGAGGAATACCAATACCATTACACGTCATTCATTATGATCCCCTGCTTAATTCTTTGAAAAATGTAACGCGTATTTTATGCACTCCTTGTGATAGAGTTCCTGTAAGTTCTATCTGGATGTTTGAATCTGGAATGAGAAGATTATGTTTTGGTCAAGTGTGTGAACGCAAAGAACTATTAAATATTAATGTGAGTATCAGTATATGGTGGTGAAATTAATTAAAGAAATAAAAATGATTAAATAATTAATAAAATTCAACTTTTTCTTTAGGTTAATCAGCAAGTTCATGATACCAGCCAAGTGAAATTTTCCAAGGAAAAAGAAATTTCGGTAATTGTTATCGTTGTTATTATTATTATTATTATTATTCTTATTATTATTAAGATTTATAAATTTAATTATTGTTGTTTCTTTCTCTCGTAGGAATTATTCCAAACAGTACCGACGGAGGTAAATTAATTATTTTATTAATTATTAAAATGATCCATCTTAAAATTTAAAATGCAATATATATACATATTTTATATTTCATCAGCTTTACATTACATGTGTATTTAATACTTACAATCGAGCAATTCGATATTTCTCCAATGACACATTTAAAAATATTTTGTTATTATTGAAAAAAAGATTTCATGTTGATGTGAAATTTCTTTGTTATCGAAATTTGGAGAATCAGATAATTTCAATAGAAAATGAAAAAGACTGGAAAGTTTTATTATGGATTTTGGAAAAAAGAAAAGAAAAAGATTTAAAACTTTATTTAGCACGGAATATATAAATAGATATCATATAATTAGTATAGATAGTCTTTATTAATATTATCGATAATAAAGAAAAAAAATGTACGCCGCCCTTTAATTGAATTTTTGAGCTTGTTATTGTGATATTGATCCGTTGTTTATTAGGTAGTGATTTTCTAAGTGCAAGATAAATATCATTATTACTATCTTGAAAGAGAAGAATATGAAACAGCATAATTTAACCGATAAGCTTGGATTTAGTAATGTGAATTAAAAGTTCGGGCAGAAAAAAGTATTTTGAACAAAAAAAAATATCAAAACAAAAAAAAATTCCCATTAAATTTTATTGATTGTAAAATAAATACATTTATATTTAAATTTTATACAAAATAAATCTATTGCGGCGGCTAGATAGAATCTACAGTAATATAAAAATTAAACAGCTCTATATAAAAGAATTTTGTTTTATTTAAAAATATTGTTTGCTGATTACATTATTATCTATAAATTCTAATCCCTCTCTATTTAAATTATTGTCTGCATCATATTCCTATTTCCCTTTTTTTGTTTCCCTTTTCTTTCCTTTCATATTTACATCTTGTAATCTCTTCTTTTATATTACTAATTCATATATTTATTTCCATATTTCATAAAAGAACTCTTTAAAGTATTGTCATGTCTTTGGAAAAACAATTGGTAATAATTTAAGAAAGTGATAGCGACAGAAGGGATTTGATGTAAGAATGAATGATGAAATAAAATTGTAATGATAGTATGCATTATACTCGCAAAGCCATTAAGTTTGAAAAAGAATAAACTGGGATAATTGGTATACAGATAGCTGGAAATATGAATATGTTACATTTAAATGTTCTCCATTAGGGATAAAACAAACATCCATAGATATCTCTGCATCACAACATTTTATAGGCATTATTGTTTTTACGTAACATTTTAATTACTAATATATCCCTGTATTCATCCCAAAGATTAATAGAAGAAGTACACCAAAGGATGATTAGTTCTTATATAGATTTTATCATATATTTGTCCTGTATTTTTATTTTACTGCATCAATAAAGCTTCTCTTCTTTAGAAGATATCCTATACAAACTTATTATTGACCAATATTATACATACATGTTGTCCAAATTATTTAGGATTTGGGATTTGGAATTTGGAATTGGAATTTTGACATTCATAGCATTTGAAATTTTGGATTTGGATTTTGGCAAACGATACTAGTTTAATTATAATTTTGGATTTGAGATTTTGGTATTTGAAATTTGAATTTGGATAGCAGCCTGTTACTAACAGGTATAATTGATACCACTTTTATTTGACTTTTCTAAACCATTCACCATCATATCAGATTTTGTTTTTGGAGCAGTTTTCAGTTAGGATTAAGGAAAATGTGACCAACCTATCACTATTGAATTTTGAAAGTTAATTGCTACTGAACTCAATTACTACATTCATAAAAGAATCACTTGTAATCATACATGCTATTAAACTTTAAAAACATAAATGGCTTCTGTTTAAACTATTCAATTACAATTAATAAATGATCAACAATTAATAAAAGAATATAAAAAAGATAAATATTTCAGTCCTATATAATGATGCCTACTACAATTATTTTTGAAAGTAGAAACAATAATAAAAATAGCTACCTGAAATTGCAACCTGAATTCAAAGTAACAACCTGAATCAAAGTTGCAACCTGAAATTAAAGTTGTAATCTGAAATCAAGTAGTAATCTGAAATTATAGTAATTAAAAATGGTAACTGTAATTATGAATTAAGGATTATGAGATTACTACTTGTATCACAATTATTAATGATTTCAATGATAAAAAATTTGCAATTTCTGCAATTTGCAATTATCTGCAAGTTCACAATTGTTCTGCAATTGTTTCACAAGTTCACAATTATTTCACAAGTCTATAATTATTCTTATAAAAAAATTTCTTGATTTTAACACTAGTCAAATACAAAAGAATCACTGTACCACCAAATGGTGATTCCTATATTGAAAATCAGAATTTCTATACTATAGATCAGCTAAAAATCAATAATAATCAACTGTCCTATTGCATCCTATATTATAAATCAGCTAAAATCAGAATTCCTTTTTGGTACAGCATATCTTTTGTATTTAACCTGTGTAATCAAAAATAAACAAATAGTTTTTAGTAATAACTTGATGTATATATATGTCCAATTTTAATAAAACAACTATCAAAATGTCACCTTGACAAGAGAAATCAAATGAGCTATAGATTATAAAAATTAAATCACAGGTTATAAAGATAATTTCATTTAATTAATTGAATTTTAATTATTAATTAAATAAACTGTTTTTTTAAAAACTTGATATAGAGATATCTGATTGAGATAACAAAAATATTATTTTGAAGCCAGGAACATGGAGATTCTGAAATATAACCATTGTTATACAAAAGTTCACAATTAATTACAGAATTGTGAATTTGTATTACAATTCCATTTAAAAATTTGCAATATTAAAGACTTTGAAAAATAATTAGGGATATCATCTCTAATAGTAATAAAATAAGATAGTAATCTGAAATCAAAATAATAATATAAATTTGTATAGTAATAAGTAACTATCTAAAGTTATAACATCAGGAATTTTATAGAGGCATTCTAGTATGCTATAAGTATAGAATGTTCAAATAATACATTAAAACATTGTGTTCTAGTATACTATAAGTATGAAATGTTCTAATTATACTTGCACACAAAATTATTTTGAGACCCCAAAATTGTAATTTTGAAGAAAAAGTCAAAATAGATTTTTATAGAAAACAAAATTATTTTACTTAAAACCCAAAATTTTTTGACTACCCAGATAAATTACTTGATTAAATATGTACTTAATTAGGTATTTTTTTACTTCTATATATAGAATAGATTCTGAGTAAATCTCAAAAAGACAAAATAATCCAAAAATCAGAAATCAATTTTGGGAACATGTATAGTTCAAATAATATACTAAAACATTGTATTTTAGTACAATATAAGTATGAAACATTTAAATAATGCACTAGAATGTTGTGTTCTTGTATGTTAGTACCATTCTAAGAACACTATATGAATGGTGTTTATATAGTGTTGTAGAACATTTTTATTTAATTCTTGATGAACTGACAACTTAAATAATTATATTATTAAAGTAAAATTATATAGATTTTAATAAAATAAATATTATTTAACTTTAGCATATATATTTAAACTTACTTTATTTAAAATAAAAATAAATTAAATCAATTATTAAAAATAAGTATATAAATTATACTTGCATGCAAAATAGACAATCATAATAATTTGAAATATTTTGGAACCCAAAAGTTGAAATAGTTTTTCATAGAAGATGAAATTATTTTATATAGAAGGTGTAATTTTTTAAAACTTGATTTCTATTCTTTAATTAAAAATACATTTAACTAGATACTTTTTTACTTCCATATATAAATTAAATTTTGCATAAAGTTTAAGGAGATGAAATACATCAAAAATCCAAAATCAATTTTGAAAACATGTATAATATTACTTAATAAAAACTAAAGATAACATAAAATAGATTAAGTTAATTAAAGCCCAAAACTACTTAAATTAAAATCAAGACTATTTAATAAATTCAATATTATCTTAAATAAAACTCAAAACTATAAATATCAATTTAGGATTAAAGCTTAAAACTGTGTAGTATAGATTGGAGATTGTATTAATTAAAGCTCAAAACTATGTGAATTAAAACTCAAGACTACATAATTAAACTCAAGATTACCTTAAATAAAATTCAAGATTATAAATATAGATTTAGGATTACAGTTTAAGAGTATATAATATAGATTTCAAAACTATGTAGTATAGATTAAAGATTATATTAATTAAAGCTCAAGAATATGCAATTTAAAACAATTGATATAAATATATATGTGTTTTAATAAAATAAGTTCAAAAATAAGCTTGAATATAATAAATATATAAATGTATTTGATAATCTTATAATCTGTATTTAAATTAACTATGATGATTCACTGGTCTTTGAATAATATATAAATAGATCATGAACAAATATAAGTACCTGTTTTTTATAATAATTCTAAGCAAAGTTTTTATAAGCAAATAAAATTATGACTTATAATTAAAGTAATTTAATTTAGATAATCATTTTGACATATATCCTTACACAATATTTTTAATGTTACATGTATATATGTTCCCAAAATTGATTTTGAATTTTTGATATATTTTGTCCTCTCAAACTTTATACAAAATCTAATCTATATATGGAAGTAAAAAAGTATCTAGTTAAGTGTATTTTTAATCAAAAAATAGAAATCAAATTCCAAAAAATTTTGTCTTCTATGAAAAACTATTTTAACTTTTGAATCCCAAAATATTTCAACTTACTATAATAGTCTATTTTATATGTAAATATAGTTATGTGCAATATAGTTATTTTTATAATAATATTAAAAATTAGAAATAATTAATAATAATTTTCACATATAAAACTTTTATTTTTTCATTAAATGAATTAAGAGAATAGTAAACATTTAAATATTAATTATTTGATTAAAAATGTAAATTTTTAGATATATTAGGTCTAATATTTTTACAGAAGATACTTTTGTTTCTTGACTTTTGAGTTATTTAGTTATTTTTTACATTTACTTATTAAATAAAAGTTTTATATGTAAAAACAAGTATAAATTATTTCTGGTTTGTAATTTATAAAGTATATTAAAATTACATAACAAATGAAAATTATTAAAGGAACAATTGATTATATTACAAAGTATATCTTCATCTTATAACTTTTAAGTTTGATGTAGTAACTTGGCACTATAACTATAGACTCTTTACTGATAGAAAATTTAATTTTTAAAAATGATTTTATTTTTTTAGAATTAATAAATTTAAAATTTCTAATAGATAATTTTACAAAATAATATCTGTTACAAATTTTAATTATTATATAACTGTAATAAAAACTAGTTACTTC